TGGGCGGAGGTGGTGCAATTTTTGGTGTCATTGGATCTTTAGGTCGATGTGGTTTATTATTATTAGCGGAAGGTTTTGTTGGGGGTGATGATGGAAGTTGTTTATAATCTAATTTGTTATTATTATTATTTAATGATGAGCTATTGTTGTTGTTGTTGTTGTTGTTGATATTGTTGTTATCTGGTTTACTTTCAAGTGGTGGAAGTAGTGTTATTGGAGGGAGAACTGGGGGAGATTCAGGTGACATTTCTATAAAAAACAATTAACAATAAATTATTCATAATTATGGCATATGTAGTAAATGTATATTTTTAATCGAATTCAATGTATGTATGTATTACTTACTACGTGGTTTTGATGATGGTGAAGTAGTACCTTTATTATATTTTACTTCCTATTATTATTATTGTTATTATTGTCGTTATTAAATATTATTATATATTATAAATATACAAATATAGAATTAATTATTAGTACTTACCGATGGGCTTGGTAAATTTTGAGGTCTTGAGGGTACGGCAGGTGGTGGTGGCTTTTTCTTTGGTTCAGGAGGAGCTGGAGCAATTCTCTAATTTTTTTTTTAAATATACATATATATAAAATAAAATTTCATCCTTTATATATATATATCCATATTTGTGATATCCTTCTCAAATAATGGTTGCTGTGATTTTTATATATTTTAATTTTTTTCGACAAAAAAAACCCAGTTTTGGTTTTTAACACTTACAGGATTTTCAAATTCTTTTTCAATGCGTGAAGAAGGAGATGATGATGGTGGTGGTGGCGGTGGTGGTGGCGATTTGTGAACTCTTGCGTTATTAAATTTTTCCCAAATTGCATTTGGGTTTTTACCACCTGCTGTATCTTGATAAAATTGTACAATCTCTATTACAGCCTATAATAATTATGATGATTATGATGATTGTAAATATAATATATATTTTTTAAATAAAAATATATATACAAATTTACAAAATCATAAATATATAAAAACCTGTGGATGAGCTTGTTGATCTTGTTTTGTAATGCCAGAATCTTGTAATAATTGTTGCCATTCTTTTGGTAAACCCTAACAGCATAATTAATTTAATAAATAAATAAATGATTGATTGGTTGGTTGGTTGATCGATCGATTTATTGGTTAATTAATTAATCAAGATTGGAATATATCATTGGAATATATCATGTGAATCATTAAATATTCTTAATGGGGACGACTTACAGTAAATTCACCAGTTTCTTGATTAAAACCAACATGAGTTAGATGAACTGGATCATAAGGCGACGAAATTTCTACTCTTTTTTGTGATGTTAAAAGATCTAAATAGATGACGACGATAACGATCATTATTATGATTATTATGATTATTATTATATGCCAGTTATAACAATATTAATTGATATATTAAAATATATATATCAATTAATAGTTAAATTTAAAAAAAATTTTTTTAATTTGATTGCATACAAATATATATAATTAAATAATCGAATATACTTTTTTAAAAAAGATTTTTACCTGACATTGAGCTAACAATATTATTAAAGACACCCTTAAAAGATTTATTATTACCATCTTTTTCATTACTATTAACTGGTTGAATAGGCTCGCCAGGTACATTGATGGCTTGTGCTCCTTTAATAGAGCCATAAGCAGGCTGTGAATATTTTGTAGAATTACTAGAATCAGACGTGGAACTATTTTTCGTCAAAACACTGCCAGCAGAAGGACTACGAGATATTGTGGGTTGATTTTGTGATTGATTATTGTTGTTATTGTTTGTTATTGTACGGGAAGGTTTTGGTGGTGGTCCCAAACTTATAGATTTTTTTGAGGCAGGAGTAGTTCGACGTGAATTGTTATTTATTGCTTGATTATTAGTTTTAACACTACCATTATTTTTACCACCGCTGTTATTCATTTGTCATATATATATGAATTTTTTATTTTATTTTTCTACAACTGGAAAAAATTTTTTATGATGTTGTAGGCGATGAATATGACGAGAGAGATAATGATTGTTGAGGAGATAAAGATAAATTTTCGAATGATGTTTCAATAAATTGTTATTATTTATTACTATCGTCTTTATCATAAAAAAAATAAATTTTTTTTGAAGGGAGTTTTTTTTTTGGTATAGCGTTTCAGTGTTTTTTTTATGCAGGTCATGCTAAGAATGAACTTATTGTTGCATTTGAGACTGATTGACATGTAATTTTGTAAATGTTTATAAATGGCATTAACATGAATTAGAACATATGACTTGTGCACGTTTAATATTTTACGTGCAAATTCAAAGAAAAAAACGTGGTAAGTACCGATCAACAATAATAATAAATAAATATATATATTTAAATCCCATTCGTAAAACAATAGAATAAATAAAAAAAAATTTATTTATTCTAACCACATTAATCAATCAATATTGATCAAATCAATATCTATCCAACTAAATGGACCCCTCCAACATTATTTATTTTATTTATTTATTTATAGAACAAATTAGTTTTTGTAATACAAAATGTATGCGTATGTTAGTTGATGTTACATGTGAAAAATGGGCAGGCTTTTGTGATTTTTAAAAGCTTGATGCTTTAATGTGGATGTTATAAGCCAACATATAAGCCACAATACAACTGAGAGAAGATAGAAGCGATTCACCAAAAAAATATACATATTATTTTTAATTATATTAAAATACGCTATGTAGATGTAAATTTAGATGTAGATTAGATGTAGATTTAGACGATTGTTTGATGATAATGTACTATACAAATAATATTTATACATAAATAGTTTGAATTAAAATGAATTAATCTAAGCTTAATCTTCTTGGAAATCTTGCTAATTCAGTAATTTTACTTTGTCGTTTTGATTGTTGTTTAGAATATACACCGGACATTTCTTCTTCGTCGAATGCATTGCCATGAGGAGATTCTTGAGCTTGATTGTTCACACCATACACTGTCAGCACATAAATTCCATTCATCATATTTCTAAAGCAGATAATAGCATAAATGATGGAAAATATTACAAGGAGAAAAGTGACACCCAAAAAGAAAGTTAAAAAACGTCTTGTGAATTGGTAAGGATCACTATCTGGATTTTCATTGAAATATTTTGGCAAGTTGATTCTGACTAATTTGTAACCGATGTAGATTAAACAGACAAACAAAGCATTTATGACTGATAATAATAAATATTTTAATTCTTTGACAACAGAATACCAAGCCATTGCCATCATTATTACACCAATAACGAATATTAACACTGTCTCTATCACAGTTTGATCATAACCTATTTGTTGTGATGGAAGTAATTGGATTGCATAGGCTCCAATGAAAAATATATCCATTTTTATCAAAGTTTGTAATATTGATAAATTTATGAAGGCCCTTTTGATTTCAACATCTGCTGAGTAAGTTTTATAAATCTCCCAACCAAATTCTTTAACCAATTTGTAAGCTATGACACACAAATAAACTGAAAATACCGCGACCAATCCGATTATAGTATATTCCAATGGTCTCATTCTAGAAGTGAAATGATGCTTGGCCATATAACTTGTAGGGTACATATCAGATGGGACAAAGATAGCCTCATCGGTACCCCTCTCTTCCAATATAATATGTTGATATATTTGTATTCCAGCATAGGCTAATGAGAGCAAATTGAATATTACCAGAGAAACTAATTGAATTGAATTATTATTCCGTAATGCATCTATACACATAAGTATTTGAAATCCAAGTGATAAAATAAATCTTTTTTGAAGGAAGGAAGGAAAAGAAGAAAAATTAATTAATTAATGATCGAAAAAAATCAAATATATATTATATGTAATACTTACAATGCATGATAAATTAAATCAGCATCAGAAATCCCATCTCCTTGTGGGCCCAATATATATTGATGTACAAAGCTAACATGAAAATAAACGACCACGCATTCCAATACAGTGAGAACAATTGCTTGAGCGATGAAGGAAAAAAATGCTATTTTTCCCAGTAATGATAACTTCATGTTTATTATTATTAATTATTAGCTATTTAATTATTATTAATTATTAACTATGTTATTATTGTGATTATTATATTATTATTATATATAAAAAAAAAATCAAACTATGAGAATAAAATTCAAAAAACCATTATATATATATATATATTTAGTTTTTTTTTTTTTTTAAAAAAAAATTTTAAAATAATTTTTTTAAAAATAATTTCGGAAATCTTTATTGTTTATATATTATTAAATATATCACACGTATATTTAATTTATACCTGATTAATAATTGTCTCGTCCAATTATTTAATATTGAAATAAGCCGTTTCTGAAAATAGATTAAATTAAACTCATATTTCATCATCGTAGTCGGTTCATATGATTTCAAAGATATATTGTATATGTGCACAACAAGGATATTTATCGTTAAAAATTGTTCTAACTGAATTAACTGAATTAATTAAAAAAAGGGACATATTTTGTAGAATCTTACACAAGATCATCGTGATACAGTGATTTTTTTGGTAATTTTCGAATTTATGGGAAATGGACCAACAAAAAGTTGGCAACACCCGAACCCAAAATTGTAGTTACATACAATTATTATTATAACAAGGGATTCCTTTTAGCTTACTAAATACCCGCAATTAATTGTTTTCTAACTTTCTCAAAAACAAAATATCCCACTCTTAGTTGGTCCATTTCCCATACAACAAAATTCATTATCACATTGCAGATCAAGCGTCATTCAATATAATAACCGTTACACGAATAAATATCGCCCATTTTTAAAAAAATATTTTTCACTGTTTTTCATATCCTATAACTTTTATTGGTCTTGCAGGCCTTTTTGATTCTTTTGACTACTCCGAAATAGAAATATATACCATAAAACAAATCATACCAAAACCTTTTTCTACATTTCATTTTGTTGATATGGCAAATTTTTTTATATTAAGGGTAGAATGTAGGGTATTCAAAGTTGTTCCATTCCTGTTCCTTGTTGTACAATACTTTACTCCTATTAACATAGATAAAAATCTAATCATTGGCTACTGAGGTCTATCAATCAAAACAATAATGACTTGGCGGATGTAAATCTTTATCAAATTTGGGTGTTATGGCAAAGAGACTTTGTTATTAATAAAATCAAAATCCAGTTCCACACAAAAAGAGTTATTTCTACTCAGAAAAGAACAAAAATAGTAAAAAAAATTGTGCAAATGTTGAGTTGTTATATAGTCTGTGCAGCGTCACTCACTTTCCTAAGTGGTACTTTTTCGATTTTACAATACTCTTCATGTATAAATTGTCGATCTTTGTAACGTCGATCTATCTATAAAAGGATTTTTAACCATGCTATACTATTATTAGGAGCAAGATTATCAATAGAAACAGAATAAGTATTATCTTGTTATTGATTAATAATTTTTAAATTGGAACATTCGTGAAATTCTGTGTAAAGAATTAATGTTTTTTAAAAAATTAGGGATTCACAATTTTTATATATATAGGGTTTTCGCAAACTATTTTTTAATTTTACATGCTGAAAATGAATTTTTGTGTATGAAAAAATTAATCTAATATATGACTAAATAGTTTAGTCAGTTTAGCCAAATGGGGGCTTTTCAATAGAAACGTGAAAGTGATGTTTTGAGAAAATTAAAAAAGAAGATCCGCATTTTATATTTTACTATGCAAAGTGAGCATTGTTTCTAAGCCAAAAATGTTCTAGGTAAGGGGTTACATACAGTAATGGTATATAGGTATTAACTCAAAATTGCTTTTTTCACAAACATGGTCCGTTCCTATTAAGAGATTAAAGGAATTGTTTATCCTCGCTGATCATTATAAATTCACGTGACTAATCTCTATCTTTAAAACGATGCGAATTGGAAGCAGCAAACAGGGCGCGAAATCCTGTTATAAAATTGTGGAAAATTCCTATGGCTGATATTGATATTATTCTCGTGTAATAATATTTGAAGATCATATTTTATTCATTTTAATTGATTTTTGTTTTATTTTTGGAAAAGATATATTATAATTTTTTTTATAATATTACTGATTATTTACCTCTAAAAATAATTCATAAAACGTTGTTGATGAAATGACATATGCCAATAGCATTTAGTTCGGCAATTGTTCTAAATTCTTGTATTTAAAAGTTTGTGTGGTTTAATTGATCTATTTACCCGACCCATGTTTACCAAGTAATATATTTTTATTTTATTTATCATATTTATCTAATAATAAGAAATATCAATAAATAAATAAATAAATATATCATACAAATTATTAACAATTATTATAGAACAATTACCTTTTGAAATTCTTTTGACATCCATGTATAATATTGTATTAATGTCTCATACAGTATAATGAGTCAAATGAAGTAACAATCATACCCCCACTACACGAAACAGTAAATGATTTTTTTCCAAATTCTATTTATTGGAAAGAAGAAGAACATTTAAAGGATATTCTTGATAGTCAATGACTGTATTTTGTATGCCTTTTGTTCTATATGATTTATTGCGTACAATGCAAATCTCTGAATGGTTTTTATTATTATTATTACTGTTATTATCATTGCTGTTCCAGAAGGTAGTGTTTTCATAACTGTTGAAATTACAAATTCCACAAGGTCTAAAATTGCTTTGTTTCCTTCTGATCTTCACACTAAAAAGTTTACTAATAAAATGTCAATGGAAATTTTGATCTTTCTAGACTTAGAATATATGAAGGCGTATATTTGCAAAGTTTGAATACACTTTCATTATCACACTTTACCTTGTAATTCTACTTTAAACAATATAAACTATTATATTACACAAAAAAAATAATTTCCACCATGCTAATAATTACCTTTAATTCTAAAATTGTAATTATTGATAAAATTAAACCACAAAGACCTTCAATGTATATTGGTGCTTCTAAATTGGCTTTTTTAGTCAATCGCGAGACAACTCCTCCAGAGCGATCCATAATATAAATAATGCCTTTATTTTCTAAGCAATAAGAGAGACCGATTTAAACACTTGGCTAACTCTCCTGCTTAAAGAAGGTGCACATGTGATGTTCCTGAACAATAAAATGTAAGTGACAAAGCTATTAAATATAGTATATAATATCAATAATGTTCATTTACTGAAAAGTTGTATCCCGAACGTGCACAGACTCCTGTAATTTTCAATTGTTGTTGATGGAAGTGACTCAATAATTAAATCGGGCATATCTTTCATAAGTTTTAATAGCTTCATTCTGTTCTTTAAAGTCTTTTTATCACGAATATCTCCTGTTCTTGCTACTTTTCCAGCTAATATTTCCCTTGAACTATTACAGAGTTTTAGCAATAAATCGATTTTTCTGCCCTATTGATATTAAAATTTAAACTATTTGCATTATAAAATTACAAATTTAAAGCTGATTTACACGAATGACAGATTCTCCGATTTTTCTTTTCTTATTTTTTCGAATTTTTGATGCAGACGAACCACCATCTGACCTATAAGATAGAAATACGTAGTTAATAACCAATATTGCAAAGAATGTGAGCATTACATACTTTCCAATTCTTATTTCTTCAATATCTTTTAATATCACCTCAATAACAAAGATCCAAACATGACTCACTTTTTCGATTTTACAATACTCTTCATGTATAAATTGTCGATCTTTGTAACGTCGATCTATCTATAAAAGGATTTTTAACCATGCTATACTATTATTAGGAGCAAGATTATCAATAGAAACAGAATAAGTATTATCTTGTTATTGATTAATAATTTTTAAATTGGAACATTCGTGAAATTCTGTGTAAAGAATTAATGTTTTTTAAAAAATTAGGGATTCACAATTTTTATATATATAGGGTTTTCGCAAACTATTTTTTAATTTTACATGCTGAAAATGAATTTTTGTGTATGAAAAAATTAATCTAATATATGACTAAATAGTTTAGTCAGTTTAGCCAAATGGGGGCTTTTCAATAGAAACGTGAAAGTGATGTTTTGAGAAAATTAAAAAAGAAGATCCGCATTTTATATTTTACTATGCAAAGTGAGCATTGTTTCTAAGCCAAAAATGTTCTAGGTAAGGGGTTACATACAGTAATGGTATATAGGTATTAACTCAAAATTGCTTTTTTCACAAACATGGTCCGTTCCTATTAAGAGATTAAAGGAATTGTTTATCCTCGCTGATCATTATAAATTCACGTGACTAATCTCTATCTTTAAAACGATGCGAATTGGAAGCAGCAAACAGGGCGCGAAATCCTGTTATAAAATTGTGGAAAATTCCTATGGCTGATATTGATATTATTCTCGTGTAATAATATTTGAAGATCATATTTTATTCATTTTAATTGATTTTTGTTTTATTTTTGGAAAAGATATATTATAATTTTTTTTATAATATTACTGATTATTTACCTCTAAAAATAATTCATAAAACGTTGTTGATGAAATGACATATGCCAATAGCATTTAGTTCGGCAATTGTTCTAAATTCTTGTATTTAAAAGTTTGTGTGGTTTAATTGATCTATTTACCCGACCCATGTTTACCAAGTAATATATTTTTATTTTATTTATCATATTTATCTAATAATAAGAAATATCAATAAATAAATAAATAAATATATCATACAAATTATTAACAATTATTATAGAACAATTACCTTTTGAAATTCTTTTGACATCCATGTATAATATTGTATTAATGTCTCATACAGTATAATGAGTCAAATGAAGTAACAATCATACCCCCACTACACGAAACAGTAAATGATTTTTTTCCAAATTCTATTTATTGGAAAGAAGAAGAACATTTAAAGGATATTCTTGATAGTCAATGACTGTATTTTGTATGCCTTTTGTTCTATATGATTTATTGCGTACAATGCAAATCTCTGAATGGTTTTTATTATTATTATTACTGTTATTATCATTGCTGTTCCAGAAGGTAGTGTTTTCATAACTGTTGAAATTACAAATTCCACAAGGTCTAAAATTGCTTTTAATAAAATGTCAACGGAATTTTTGATCTTTTCTGATCTAGACTTAGAATATACGAAGGCGTATATGTGCAAAATTGAGTACACTTTCAATTAATGATTGAAATTAAATGCTTACTACTGGTTAGTTCTAAACCACCATTTAATAATGATTGTTGCGATCAAAGAGGATGAACAAGAAGGTATAATATTATGTACTAGATTTCTTTAAAATTTTTGGTAATCGATTATAAATAACGATAGAAGTTAAAATTTAAAGATGTGAGACGATTCATCATAGAAAAGTGGAATCCAACTCCTGATTATTTCTAAATAATTTACTTTGATAAAAAAAATCAAGATGTCAGCCTGTAATTAAAATCAATAGTGAAAGTATTTCGTATTAAAATATATTCAATAAAATTCTGCCCTTAACCTATCGAATTAATGAAGTGGTTGTTCCATGATGATTAATTTGATTTTTCCGGTTTTTCTGTATATTTGTGATTTGATAGGTGAAAAACTAAAGACAATATCATGTAAAATTTTGTTGCATAATTAAAATCTATTGACTTTCTCCAAAATAAATGTTCTTTAATTGTATGAAAACTACAATAGATAAAGAATAATGAATGGTGTAATAAGCGTATTAATAAATGATCTAGCATTCTCGATTGAAAATTTCAATGGTTTTATAAATTTCGTCTACAAAGCCACACGCATCACTATTGATATATTGTTATGTGCTATGAAAGAGAGTCAAGTGTATAAAAATAAATAAAAGGTTATGTGAAATAAATTTTTTTAATGTAAATTTCGTCGAATTTTTTGATTTCTCTTCACTTTAATTTGTGTTGTTTATTTATGTCTTTTTTTGACTGTAAGAGATTCTTTAATTACTATGCCTAAGTTAGGTCTAAATTTCCTATTAGTAAAGAATACTTATCAAAAGTAAGCAGGTTAATAACTTTGAAATGATTACAAATTATGTTTCAATGATTGCTTGGTCTGGTGGAGATAACGGTCAAGTATGCTGGTAATAACTAATAATTATTATTTATTTTCAATAGGTTCATCATATGAAATATTCATTTTCAAACATCAATCGTTGGTTTATTATTACTATTACTATTATTTCTTAAAAAAATTGTTCATACTCATAAATTTGTATACATGTAAGTAAGCTTGCATTAAACTTCCACCATCTCTAGAGATATCTTTTATTGAAAGCGATGATGATACATTCGGACACGCTTATATGAGTTGTGAAGAAAAATATTTGTTACGACAATCGGATTACAGTGCAGAATGATTTGTAGTTCTTTAATGATAATGTAAACTCCATAAGTTATTAATATTAACAAAGGTTATATTCATCACATTCATCGTCATTTCTTTTTTCACCACCAATATTAATGTTTTATGATGATCTAAACTGGCTTATGTTAAAAGTAAGCATACAGATAATGTGAAGTTAATTCCTTTTGAGTTGTCTTTATTTTATACAATAGAGTAGTATTTTAACCCTTGGGAAGTGTCTCTCTAGCTGGGATACTCCCGAGGACAAACAACCAGAAATGACACACTCCTTGATTTGTTAAACATGAAATCATTCTAAATGACATTGATTCTTATCTTGACATTAAGTTTTGTGAAATGTAATATTCAGACCTACCCTTACTATTCTTTATAAAAAATATAATATTTATATGTAACTCAAATTGTACAACCAAGAAAATTTAATAAAAAAATTTCATCAGAAAATATATATTATATAAATATTATATTTATTTAAAACTTTTTGATCAATGGATCCAAGTTTATATCATAATCAGCAGCAGCAGCAGCAGCAGCAGCAACAACAACAACAACAACAACAACAACAACAACAGCAGCAGCAGCAGCAGCAGCAGCAGCAACAACAACAACAAACCCCCCAACAAAATCGTGTTGTTCCTTATAACTTTATAGGAACTCCTCAGACTGGATCAACAAATGTAATAGGAACTGGTATTTATCCTCAACAATATTTAACCTCAACTTATCCAAATAATGCATCATATTTACAAGCTAGTAACAGTAATATGAATCCTATGATGTCAATTACAGGAACTAGATCTGTTTATCCAGTACCTGTTGCATCTCTAGCATCAATAACAGGAAATGGTATGCCTGCTGCAAAACGTGTTGCACTTGCTCCTACAACAACAACACAACCTATTCAAAACATCTATCCTAATTTAGCTCAAAATCAACTCCAATTAGCTCAAAATCAACTTTATGGTAGTAGTGGTAATAGTACTTTCTCTAATCAATTGATAAATACTGTAAGAACCGCAAACACTGTACCAACTCAAACCTACTTAGGCACAGATGGCTCAAGTATTGATGGTAAGACAGTCGGATCATTGCAACCTAATTATGTTTCTTCAATGCAAAATATAAACAAGTATTATGAACAATTACAAAAACAACAACAGCAACAACAACTACAACAAAAACTTAACCCAATTGCCAATAATTATAATTTAATAAATAATTCACATCCTGCTGCTCAACAGATAAACCATACTATTCAAAATCCAGCTCAATCATTTGAAAATCAAATGGATTGGTTAGAATTAACTAACGATGAAGATATTGTTTATGATGATTTTAGTTACAATACTGAGTTTTCAAATACTCCTAGCACTAGTAATATAGAAGGAAATATATCGGATTGGACTCATGGCTCTTTATTACAAAAAAATATTAACTATTCAAATCAAAATCTTTCTTCAAAATCTTCATGTCCACTAATTAGTCCAAATAGTCACCAAAAAAATAATTCACAACAACAAGAATCACAGCAACAGCAACAAAAGCAACAAAATGACAAAGATCAATCACCACTACAATCACAACAAGATCAACAAAAATTAGATCAAGATCAAGAATTGGTTTCACAACCAGTTCAATCTACATTACAATCAGTCCAACAATCTCCACAACAACAACAAAAACAGCCAAAAATAAAAGATAACAATAATTTAGAATATAACTATCCTAATATACTTTCTGCTCCATCAAAGAATGCTATTACTAATAATAACAATAATATTGGTGGTGACAGTAATAATAGTGGTAGTAGTAATAGCAGCATTGCACAAAATTTATCTCCAAAAAATATTCAAAATTTGGTTCAAACATCATCCAGTAGTGTTGGAGATGACGATGATAACAACAATAATAATGGTTCTTCTGTAAGTTCAAATTTTCAAAATAATTCTTATGATAATTCTGTTTTTCTTGCCAATACAAAATTTAATCATTCTTTAAATGACATTAAACAACAGCAACAGCAACATAATGACAATTCAAATCAACAATCTGCTACAATTGTACCAACCAATTTATTGAATATATCAAATGCACCACCACCAAAACTTCATTTACCAACTAATCAAGGAATAGCTGGTAGAAGAAACCGTCAGGTTAACAAACAATCTGAAAAAAATCCTTCTGTTGCTAATAATATATCACCAATACCTTCAGTCTCATCACAATTTCCTAATCAACCATCTTCAATGCCAACTACAAACCCTATTACCACTAATACCATTAAACCACCCAGATTAGTTTATGCACCAAAAACACGTAGAGTGGATAGTTATGGTGGTTTAGATTTAACAGTTTTTGAAAGGTTGCCATTGCCTTTAATTGTACCAATAATTCAAGATTTAGGTAATAATTATTTTCAAATAAGTTTTTTTCTGAAATTTAATGTATATTTATTTATATTTATATATCATTTTTTGAATAGGCGCTGTTGATATTCATGCTCTTACAATGTCATTAAAATCAGGAATGAAATTGGAAGTTACAAATGCACTTAACACATTAACAACAATTTCAAGTCACAAAAGTGCATTAGTAGATTTGAGTAGATGTGGTGAACTGGTTGATGTATTGATTGATATAATAATGGAATATTTTAATTGTGTATCAATCAATTATTATTCTGATAAAGCTAGATATGAAATTTCATTGCCAAACAGTAAATTTTTAACATATGTAGAGTTATTTCAACAATCAAAAAGGGAATACGAAGAGTTTTCAGATGTTGAACTTGAACAATTTTCTATTTCAGAAGGATGGTTACCATTACATGAACAGTGTTGGTGTGCATTGAATATAATTAGAAACTTTTCTTTTACACATGATAATCATAAGTATTTGGCACATCATCCAAGAATGTTGGAAACATTTATGAAAATTTTATACCTTGGATTGGTTGATAATGATAATTATGATAATGGCCATGGTGATGGTAATAATAGTAAGGAAGAAGATGATAATAACAAAGACAATGATGATGACAATGATAGACAAAAATTTGATTTAACAATACCAAGTAAATCTTCAAAAACTGATTTACATAATAAAAAAAGATATGCAAGGAAAAAAGCTTATGATATATTAGAATATCGTAAAAGTGTTCTAATAATTTTATCAAATATTGCAGGATATGTTCTGATACCTTCAATACCAGTAGCAAGTGAACTTTTATTGATAATTTCAGATTTTCTAAATAATTCAGATGATTATTATGCACAGATAGCATTAGAAGTTTTATCCAAATTGACAGTCTCATATGAAAATAGACAGAAATTTGGTGAATGTGATGAAGATACATTGAAATCAATTTTTGAAAAACTTGTAAGATTGTTGCCAAAAGCTGAAAGTAATATTTTTGGTGGTGGCAATATTAGTAGCAGTAATAGTTCTTATAATAATAATTATTATAATAGCAATATTATAACTCATACATCATCAATTCAAGAATTACCATTCTTAGCTACCTTGATAATGTCGTTTTTTAATTTTGCAAGTTTAAGTAATGAAACTATGAAAAAAAGAATTATAACCACACCAGGATTTATAAATCGAATGCTTAAGATGACATTGGTATTGGCAAGTGTTAGAAATATTAGAACAGGTGTTAACGAAGTAGATTGTGTTATGTTAGCTAGAAGATCAATGGAAATGCTCAAAGTGTTGGCCAAAGGAAATAAAGAAAGTTTTCTTGTATATAATGAACAGTTATTAAATGCTTTATTAACTCCATATATTGATCCTGTTGTAGTAAAAGATCTAGAGGGTATTGTTATTTATCATGTTGATATATAAATATTATTACATGATGAAAAAATTTACATTCATTTTTTGAATGAAAATATAATAGATATATATATTATTTAATTATATAGTAAAAAAGCTTTAAAAAAATTAGTTAATTTTTGCCACTTGAGAATTCCAAATATATCGAATTTTTTAATAAAAAAGTTTAGATCATTTTATCGCTTTCTTTTCATATCATTTTTTTGTAATAATAGTAATAGTGGCAAATAAAAATAAAATAAATGTTATTATTACCCCTGTAAACTCACTGCGCATTTAACAATAGAGATTGGTGACCGCAGATGGGTTGAATACCCATGTTGGATGTTAATTATGACAAGATCTATTATTTTATTTCTGTAGTTGGTAATAATGAACAGATAATTGTTTAAATGACAATTTCACCAGAAACTACAGATGTATATCAATAGTAATAGTGGCATATGGTGCGCTGTATCTAAAGACATCAAAAAAATTGCAAATCTTTAAACCCTGATAGATTTGGAAATATTTGTCAGGCCACAAAAATCTTTCTATTTTTGCAATCTTTGAAACATAAGCAACAATGTAATAGAGAGATTTTTTAAAATTAATTAGTAAAAAAAAAAGTTATGGGGGTTTAAAATTAAGTAATTTTGATATAAATTAAAAAATTTCGGCACGCCGATCAAACTAATTTGGCCAATCAAAAAACGAGAATAGATCAAAAATTATCACGTGATAATTCAAACGATTTATTTTTAATCATCCCAATGATAATATATCTACATCCATTAACACAGATTCTGGTACTTTTCTATGGGATTTATATTTTTTTGCTGCAAATATTGCAGCTCTTCCTGAAAGTCCTAATCTATAAGCACTCATAAATCTATAACATCTTCTAGCAAATTTTCTAATTTTACAAAGTGAAACCGAATTCAATGCCAGAGGAACAGTTCTTTCTAATTCTTTAAATGAATAATTACAATTTTTTCTGGCATATTGTTTAGTTGCCCCCCAAAAACTTTCTATATAGTTCAATTCACAATGATACTTTGGATAAAAGATTATTTTATGCCCTGCCTTTTCTACAATTTCTTCTAAGTGAGATTTTTGTGCCAGAAAATCTGGCTCTAATGACAAAATACGAAAAGCACAGCAGCCCAAAACCTCACTCACCTGTGTATGATTCTTACATTCTTTACATGTCCTTAATAATCCTATCTTCCACAAACCTCTTTCTTCAAGCACAATTTTCATACCTTTTGGTTGTCCATTAGGTAAAACCATAGTTTGTAATTGTCCATTACGCATATATGTGTTTCTCATTAAGGGTTGTTTACCACCTGAAGACAAGTTCATTCTTGAAGCTACAAGTGCATCTTGTGCATAAGATAGATGGTTTGAACTATGATCAAAAGCAAAAACAGCAATACATCCAGGATGCACTGTTTCAAAAATAGGTATTGCTTTGTTTTTTAACTAAATAATGAGAAAGTAATTAGTAATAATAAAAATTAATAAAAAATAAATTTAAATTTAAAAACCTGTTCAGCAAGATCAGAATTCTGCCAATATCCATCTCGATTTGCTCCTGGTTTAATTATACAGCATGCTTCTTCAGGTATTCTTGATTCTTCAGGGAGTGAATAATTTTCTTGCTTTTCATTCTCACCTAAACATAATCTCCCAATAGTCTCACATAAAAATTCACTTATGTGAAGGCTTGCACCTTGTGACTTTGGTCGAAGAGGCTGTTCTCCTTGGGGTCCCCAAAATTTCTTGATTCCATCATTTGCATAAAATGTAGACTCATCATGAGTCACCAAAATATGTATTTTTTCATAAAGATCTAATGCAGGCCAAATAATGTTTTCCATTTCTTCACCCTCAAATATGGGCATAAATTTTTCAAAAAATTTCATTTGATCCAAAAATTTCATTCGATATTCTATCACATCTGGTCTTTCATGAACATCAAAATAAACATCTTTTTGATGTGATTTGTATTCCCAACCCATATTATTAAGCCATCTTCGAGCTGTATCTTTATTAATTTCCTTTCTTCTTTCATATCCTAGAGAAGGAAAAACCTCATCAGAAATGAATTTAATAAAATTATTAATACTAAGAGTAAACCTGTTTCCTCTTAAATATCTAGCAATTTTCATTTTAACATCTTCATCATTAATAATGCTTTTAATCTTTTGATGTTTTCCTCTTTTAGACATTGATATTTCTCCATTCTTTTGATATTGTATTGCCCAAGATCTTATCAACCTAGCCATCCAAAGACCATGATTAATGCTTTTAGAAATAATTTCACTGGCTGTGATCTTGGCATATCCATTGTTTACAAGACGAAGATATTGGGCAACATACTGTAACCTATAATCAGAAATTGATTTATTTTTTAGGTTAATTTCTAAATTTTCTAAAGTAAAAAAAGGAATTTTGTTATCTGAATCATCATCATCTTCAAAAAAATGTCTTATTTCATTTTGAGTCTGTTCATTAATTTCTGGATTTTTTTCACCAATCTAATTAAATTTGAAGAAAAAAATAAAAAACATAAATAAATAAATTATTATTTCTTAAAATATGTATTTTTATTATTACCGGAAAGAATGATGTGATCTTTTCAGTTCCTTTTGCTGCATTTTTTAGAGCATCTTGTTTTAATCTGATAGTTTTTGGTGCTGCTCCTGTGTAAAATTGTGGTCGACCCTCTGTTTTCCATATATCTGGTTTTGAGCTAGAAGAAACAATCTTTGAAAAAGCATTTTCTAATTCTGATGATATGTTATCATCATGCCATTCATCTCCTGAATCATCACTTTCATAAATAAATTCATCTTCCAAAAATTCCAAGTGATCGGGTTCAAGATTTGAAGGAACATGCTCCTGAACATCTGCAATAATCTCTTCCTGAACATCTACAATAACTAGTTTGAGATATTAAAATATACCATTAGATTAATAAATGATAATAAATGATTGTAATATCACACTAACATTGTTTATTAGTAACATTATTGTCCTTTTTAGTTTTTCTAGCATTTTTTAAATGGTTTTTTTGTTTTTTTACTGGAGACATTTTGCTTCGAGTTATTTCTTAATCAGGAAAGATCGGCGTTAAAAATTTCGGCATGAGGCGCAGCATTTGATGTCTTTAGATACGGCGCACCATAACAATCAGCATTCATTTCCAATTTTAATTCGTGGTACTTTTAATAGCGAGTAATCTGCAGTGGGTAATTTCTAACCAATTTTTAAAAAAATTAAACCAAAAGTAAATTTAATTTCAATCATTCCTCATTTACATTATGAAAGCAGAGACTCTAAACAAAATCAAAAGGTATATATTATATAAATCTAAATAAATATTTTTCTTATCTGAGCTTATTTCCCTATGAAAACTTGAGTAGAAATTCATTCCCAAAGTGGGTGCAGTGTTGAACAATGTACCTTCCATATCAATTGAAATGTACAAAATGAAAATCGTCATATAATGATACCTGAGAATGAAGATAAGGCAGTTAAAAAAAAATTGAATAAGGTACAATTCACACTCTGTAACGGATCTTTCTATGATAATAACGGACTGAAAATTTAAGCCCAATTTATATGTCCATATTAATATATAAATTGTTATTGTCTATAATGGATTCTCTCTACAGCTTACTCTCTTTATGATGGATCCTTCTATAACGAATCTTGTTCTATAATGGACTGAGAACTTAAGCCCAATTTACATCATATATAAATTATTATAACAATCATTTTTTCCTAAGCCAAATGGGAGGGTAGGTGAACTGTAAATAGGAAAAAAATTAATATAATAAATATTTTCTAAATTTTTAGAATGAATTACTTTGAACTGGGTTGAGCTCTTTGCGAAAGAGAAATTTTGGGAAACATGGTGGAAGTAAATGCATGTCTGAGCAAGTAAAACAACTTCTAAAAGCCTATTTTTTGTCAAGAAATCTGGGTAAGAAGAATAAATTCACTGCTGAAACAATGCTTGCAAATCTAAAACAAAGAATAGAAGAAGGTGGGTTAGATGCAAATGAGTTACCAAAAATAAAAATTGGACGACATGCTTTATAATAGAGAGTATAAAAAAGAATCAACTGAGGACATTATGTCATAAAAAAATGCGAACCATTATTTTGTAAATTCTATATTGTGCGTAATAGTAATAGTAATAATCCCCAATCAAGATTGAAAGAGTGTAAAAACAGCTTGGACTAAAGCTCCAAACGGTTCAGTTCGGTTCGGTTCAATTCCCAAACCGAAACCAAACCAAAAATGCGGTTTCAGTTTGGTTTACATTTGAACCAAAAATTTCAGGTATCCTAAATTCGTTAACTATGCAAAAATAAACATAACATAATGACTTGTGGCTGAATGTGTGTTGCGAAGTAAAAATGCTGGAAGGATCCTGTTTCTATATACATGAAGTTATAAAGGATTTTAGACATTTAAAAATCTGTTATAATAATAATAATAATAACAAATTTATTAGTCATGTTATTATTATAACGGATTTCAAAAATGTTAAAAGTCGTTATAACATGTATTTAATTAGGTTACACTTTGGTTTGACTATGGTAACGAAGATCCGTTTACAAATTATTATTATTTATTTATTAAAACAAATTCATTGCCGCAACCAGCTTTTTAAACACATATGGTGCGTATCTGTTATTATTATAACGGATTTCAAAAATGTTAAAAGTCGTTATAACATGTATTTAATTAGGTTACACTTTGGTTTGACTATGGTAACGAAGATCCGTTTACAAATTATTATTATTTATTTATTAAAACAAATTCATTGCCGCAACCAGCTTTTTAAACACATACAAATTCTTATTGTTTTAGGCTCTAAACTACATCGCCTTTGATTAATTAAGTCTGTACCCCCAGAGAAAACCCGTTCATATAATAATAATAATGGACTTCCCTGATTCTTTTTTTATAATTAATTTTTCTCTACATTCAGAACTCAACAAGACGATGCTTTGATAAAATAAATACACATGATAAACCAATTTTTTTTATTATCTACTTATTAAAAATCATCTCTATAAGCTGATTATATTAAGGTTTTTTAAAACTGAAGATTTTTTTTTGACTTCGGTTTAACTAGCTCTGCATGTATAACAAACATCTTCTATAACAAACAAAGGTGAAAATTCATTGTAGAGAGAGTGAACTTTTCATAATATAAATATGAAGATCTAGCTGAACCAAACTGAAACCAAACCGTTCAGAGCTTTACCTCTTCAAATTCTTCACTACTATAAATAGGAGAACTATTATCAGGTGAATTATTATCAAGAGAGTTATGTAGTTCATTCATGAAGAAATCAATAACTAACGGTAAAATTGAAGGAGAGGAATTAATCATTAATTATTATTATTTATTTTTTTATGTTTTATTTTTTTTTTGATTATTATATACTGTATATTAATATATTAATATATATATTTTATTTATTATCGGAAAAAAAAATTTTTTTTTGTGTTCAATAATAATTTAAAAACCAAAACCAAACCAAAACCGAACTGAAAATTTTCGAATTGGTTTTTTAAAAACCGAAACCGAACCGAACTGAAACCGAACCGAAAATTTCGGTTTAAACCGAACCGTTTGGAGCTTTAGGAAATATTTTCTTTTTCAAATAAAATATTACCATTATCAGATTTTTCAACCCAATTATTAGATAAAGCTGCTCTAAAGTACAAGGATCTTGCTTTTAAAATAGTTGAATGAGCTTTAAAAATTTTGACATCATCCTTTTCTGTTCCAACTTTAATTTCTACATCATAATAATCTGAATTATCCAACAATTTTGAAAAATCATTTACTAGTTTATTAAAATATTTTAATTGGAGAGAATTATAAGTGCAAAGGTTGTTAAATAAGAGAGTGATATTTTCCAAGGATGAGAACCTGTTATTATTAGACGATGAAAAATTTTTTTTTCCAACAAAATTTATTATTATTATTATGCTTTCATTTATAGTGCAGTCAGGATTTTTTCCAAATTTTGAGTTACCAAATATTGCAATGATCAACATCCTAAATAGTAAATTCGCACTACGTAAAAATTTGATTGGCTGAAATTCCGCCTTTTTCTCCTTTTCTTTTCTCAAAAACTCACATAATATGAAAAAATTTAACTGTTCATAGAAGGTCTCATGGATGTG